GTATGTGACAAAGAATTACATGTTATTTTCAACAAGATACAAGAGAAAGAAGTAGGTTTTGGCTACACCTGGCAATCCTGACAGCACAATCTTTAGCACTACTAGATAACCCTGTGGAGTTTGCTGGTTGTCTGCACTAGAACATTCATACACCTCAGAGTCAGGTGACAGAGGAATGTTTGATGGTATCAGTGTGTGCCACACCTTCGGCACTGTGTGCTTAACGCAACAAATGGGCATGTCAGAACTGGTAATAAAATAACAGAGATACATTGAGACTGGTGCTGAGGAGATTGCTGGAGGTGAAGCAATAAACACGCTGGGGATATCAAAGTCCTTGAACGGCTGAAAGAGAAGACAGACAGGAAGAGGATGGGGGTGAATGACAATGTAATGAGTCAAAATCTTCCCTGGAGTAACACCATTAAATATCTGTGTTGAATTAGATCCAGTAGGTCTGTTACGTGCACTCCATTTGGGAAGAAGCAGAAAGGCCTAAAAAAAGTTCAGAGCCTCAATGCCCACCCAGAGGGCACGCACATGCATGGCGAGTTTAGAGTGAAAGTTTCGTTGGTGAAAAATATCACCAGGAGTCTGCAGAGATAACCTGTGGGAGCAGATTACTCCTCACTCTGCTGCTGTCACTCCTGTTGAGTAACGCCTCACTCTGCCAGTGGTCTCCCTGGCCAAGAGCTTCAAAATGGACCAGTCATGTTGGGTGCCCAATCTGAGAGATGTTGAAGAGGCCTGAATTTCAGAAAGAGCTGAGGAGCCCCACTCTGAATGTCAGGCCGTTTTAAGGTCTCTCAAGCTGGGCACCCAAAATCAACAGTCAGTTTAGAGACTCTTGGTCATTGAGTTCAATAGGACTGTTCAGAGTGCAGGGTACCAACCAGCATGAGTCAAGCCCATGTAAAAAGAAGGCTGAGCTCAGCAGTACAATCATCCTCAGACAGTCAAACACAGCCCCATGTAGACAAACCCTTTTGTGCTGATGCCTTATGTAGATTTTTTTAGTGACTTGTGTCTTTAAGGGTATGTCTACATTACAATAAAAAACCTGCAGCACCAAGTCTCAGAGCCTGGATCAACTAATTTGGGATCGCTGGGTTCTGCCTGCGGGGCTAAAAACTGCAGTGTGGACATTCAGGCTCAGATTGGAGCCTGGGGGTCTGAGAACCACCCCCTTTGCGGGGTTTCAGAGCCTGATCCCAAACGTCCACACTGAAATCTATAGCCCACAATCCAATTCCAGCCATCACCATGCTGTGGGTCTTTTATTACAGTATGGACATACCCTAAGGCACAGCCCATGGTAACAGAAATCCTGGAGACTCTGATGAGTGCAAAGGGGCAAGAAAACTGCTGGATATCCCTAGCTGAGAATTTTCTCTCTGTAGAGAAGTAAATCCTCTGGCTTAGAACTTGGTGAAGTGTTGGCCTGCGTGTCACCCCAGCTCCTGCGGTGTATGGCAGAGGAGCATGGACTGACATGTCTTGAGCATCACAGAACTCCAGTTAAACTGATCAGATGTAATGCCCCTTTGGGGCCATAGCTAGGAGCAGCCCCAGAGCTGGCATAGAATTGGTCCCAGAATTAGGGAGTTGCAATCTACTCCTTTTTTCTCCCAACTGCCACATCATCAAAGTACATTCAGCTGGAACTGGGTGCAGCTAAGCGTATGTCTATGCTGCAGTCACTGGGTCTCACTACAGCTCGAGGGGACATGCCTGAGCTAGCTTTAATCTCACTAGCACAAGTCCTGGAGTTGTGAAGCAGCGGCAGCAGAGACTAGCCCTGGGAGTAATTATCCTGGGTTCTGGGCTGGTTGGCTTGTATAGCCTGGACTGAGGCTTGTGCTGCTGCAGCTTCACTGCTCCAGGACTCGAGCTAGCAAGATTAAAGAGCGCACAGGCAACTCCTGCAGCCTAGACACATCCTGCTTCTGTGGCCCATTGTGCCTCAGGGAATGTCAGTGCCTCTAGCAGCCCTGGAGAAGGGCAGGTGCTGTGCCATGTTGGACAGCAGTGGTGCTGGAATCACATGGCCTTGCCCTCCCCGAGCACTAGGAGCATGACAGTGAATGGCCCTTTCACCACAGCAAAGGTTCTCATGTGATCTCCCCCGCACACTCATTCCCACAGTGGCTGGACATAGTGACACCCTCTCATATTGTTCAGCTTTTCCTGCATTGTACAGAGACACAGGAGAAGGAAGGGGAGGAACAACCTGATGTATTTCAAGGGGGAATAACAAGAAATCAGGTGTCTTGTATTTCTGAGCATCTGTGTCTGTTCTGATTGCTGTTCTCATTTCATATCAGCCCCCGTCTCTTCCCACATGAGCTACCAGAGGCATGGAGCTACGGGGACAGCTCTCCAGCTGCTTGTTCTGTGCCATACTCCTAGCAGCGATTCCCTTTTCAGGTAAAAGCATTGTTGTTAAAACACTTCTCCGCAGCACAAAATCCCTGGAGTGAGACCCTAAACCAGCATGAAACCCCTGCTGGTATCTGTGTTTCAGCAGAGAGAATGTTTTTGTTTGTGTTACTGAGCAGGTTATTCAGGAGGCACTGGAAATCTGGTCCTGGAAGCATCTGGGTGCTCTCAGTGCCTATTGAGCCGGCAACTCACAGCAGGTTCTCAGCATGTTGTCAGTTTCAGACTCTTTGTTAGCCCTGGTTTCTCCAGTGAGGTTCTCAGTTCATCATGGACCTGCAATCAGTACGAGGTGGAGATGTACAATTGGTCTATTCTGGGGATCTAGCCATTGGGGAAAGATGACCAATGCAAGAACCCCCACCATCACCACCACCCACACACACAATTTGGCTTGGTTGAGCTTATACCTTAAACTGGATATTCAGCACTAATGGAAATTACATCATGCTCTGTCTATATTTAGACATTTGTGCTGCTGGCTGATGGCTGGAATAGGGCAAACACAGGGTTGAAATTTTAATTTGAATCTTTTGTTTCAATAGAAAAATGTCCTTTTCACAACAATAAATTTATGATTTTTCAACAGACCTCCTTCCCCATCAGTTTATCAGTTTGGGATTTCCCCCCCCCTTTTTTTTTTCTTTTTTGCCTTTCTTCATTCCCTCCCCTCTTTTCCAATTTTACCATTGAAAAATGAGAAAAGTGAGAAAAAAGCAGACAGTGCTCTCCCCCCCCCAACCAAAAAAAAGAAAAAGAAAAAATCTTTTATTAGAACATTGGAAAAATGTGAACTGTTTTACAAAAAAATTTTTTTTTTTTACTTTTTTTTACATTTCTTTTAAACACATGTTATCCTTTTTCAACAAGCTCTCAGAGCAGCCCTAAGATCTCCCAGGCAGGCTCTGGTTATTTGGTATGTTTTATCTGTTATACAATGTCTTATATACCAATGGTGCAATAAAAAAATGTATCTCCATTCTTCTTCTTTGATTCCCTTCTCTCAGCTCAGCAGCTATGATGAGGGTCGAGTGATGTCTTTCCACCACTTTCTGTCTTGAACCAGCTTCATGGCTTCCTTTCTCTTTTTGTTTTATGTCATTGTATGTCAATGCATTCTCAGTCTTCCTCTATTTCCAGTTCCTTGCACTCTGGTATGTATTGCCAATATGGTATCCTTTTCAGGTCCATTCCTGACACATGTCCAAACCATCACAGTTATCCTTCTTCAGTCTTCTGTAACAGGGTTGTTTCTTGCCCTAGACATTTTCTTCTCACTTTATTTTTTTAAAAATTTCTGCAGTCTTGAAACTCTCAGTATCCCCCTCAGCCAGTTCATTTCTGCAGGCAATGTCTTCTCTTTGTTAGCTTTCCTCATACTCCAGTGTTACAAACCTGCAGCACAGTATCGGCACGAGAGTTTCTTTGTTATTGAAACGTATTGAGCCTGCCAGATGTTGCAGTTTCCCAAATGCAGTAACGGCTAGTCCAATTTTTCTTTTTACGTCATCTTCACAATTCCCATTCTTTGATACTAGCCCTCATTTTTCCCCACTTGTTCTAGTTCTTTGTCTCCACATTTGATCTTTATCTCTTCCTCTTGTCTTCCAATTGCCATATTTTTTGTCTTCCCTGTGTTGATGTTCAGGCTGAATTTTCTGCTTTCCCAATCTAGCTTGTTAGTAATTCTCTGCAATTCCTCCTTGGTCAATGTTAAGAGTCAATATCATCTGCGAAACTCAGGTTCTCAATAAGAAGAATGATTTCAGACACTTAATAAACAATAACAATAACTATCAATTACATATTTGCAGAGTATTTCTACTCTTTAATATATGAAGACAGATTCCTGCCCCACTGCTTGGAATTCATGGCTATTACAGACACCACTGGTTTTATTCTGGACATACCCTCAGGGTACAATTACACTGCAGTCAGTAGGAATACCTGTACTATCTTGAATCTAGCTAGCTTGGTTAAAAATAGTATTGAAGATGCAGCAGTATGAATCCTTATGTGAGCTAGGAATGTGAGTATGTACCCAGAGTTCTGGGTGGGCTTATACAGCTGAAGTCCATGCCGCCATATGTTCATTGCAAGGCTAGCACTGACATGCCTACCGAGCTGCAATCACTCCTCCAGCTGCAGTGTAGACACTTCCTCATTTAGGTTTGCTTCTTTCAGAGAATTTCGAAGTCATCTCGTCCCCAACTGTCACTGGGATCGTCGGCCAGGATGTGGTCTTACCCTGCCACATCTCCACTGGGACGCAGCCGGCCAATATGGAAGTGCAGTGGAAGAAAATCATCCAGGCAGCTATTGAGACTGTCCATGAATACAGAGCCAACCCAGGCCAGGATGTGCCAGGGCAGAAATACCAGGGCCGGACCGCACTGTTGAAGGATGGATTCACCTCTGGGAATGTGTCTTTAAAGCTGAAGAACGTCCAACCAGCCGATGAGGGAACGTACAGCTGCATTGTGAAGTCTAACGAGTGGAGCGCTGATGCTGCAACCGAGCTTAAAATTGCAGGTTGGTGATTTCCTTGGGCAGGGTCAGATTTTGCCTGGCCATGATGTAGATGTGCCGTGTGGAGAGGGTACAAGGAGTCTTGTTCCTGTGTGCAGTCTGTATAATGGCCAGGCAGAACTCCAGTCCCTGTCCCTCCCAGTGCCCTCAGGGTGCTGAACAGGAGGCAGATCCATGGTGCTGCCCCATATGAACCAACCAGTGTAGCTGCCCAGTTATTCAAGGGGCTGCAAGCTGCGTTAGCAGCCTGTGTGGTAGGAGCTCTGGGGTAGGACAACTCCCCACCTGCCCCTAACTCTGCGCTGTGCCTCTGCAGGACAATTGAATCCTAAACGCACAGACTATGAAACACTGGGCCTGATTCTCAGTCACACCAAGGCCTCCTTATGTTGCTCTGGCAGTGTAAAGGGGTCTTAAAGTGGGCAGAAATGCCCCCCAATAATAGGTCCTGGGTATGTCTGTGGCTGGCGTAATGGTTCTGCACCCAAGCCCCAATATAAGGGCAGAATGGGATGTGATAGACACCTGGGCAGAGCACAGTGCACTATGGATATCCTCTGCTCACCAGGGCCCTTGGGGACCAGCTCCTCTAACTTACACCAGGGGGCTGAGCAGGCCCTACCTGGCCCCAGAATACAGACAGAGTGAAGGTGGCTTAAAGCCCTTTCTCTTTTCCATCCTTGCCCAAATCAGAGGGACTAGGGAGCTGAGAAACAGGCCCAGCCTTCTGAGAGCCCTGTCTATGGGCTTGTCTATACTTCAGTAAATTACAATGATGGGAGGAGTTCTCTCATTACAGTAATGAATCCATCTCCCCGAGAGGCAATAGCTAGGGTAACAGAAGAATTCTTCTAGCAACCTAGTGCTGTCTACACTGAGGTTAGGTTGGCTTAACTGTGTCATTCAGGGATGAAGCGATGTAGCTGGGTCGACCTAACTTTTGAGTGTAGATTGGCATGAGTATTGGCATTGGCATGTGTCATTTTGGAGGCCAGGCAGCCGTACAACTTGCAATTTACTGTGGAGACTCACCATGATCTGAAATCCCCTGGAGAAGCAGGTGAAGAATTTCTTTGAACTCCAGTAAGAAAAACACTGAAACTGGGACCATGTCCTGAGTTAAAAATAAAGCCATAACAAAGGGACAATGCTGTTTCCCTGCAGATCATCCCTTCCTAATCTCTCCCATCTTGTTTTAGCTGTTGCCTCTGTGTCCATTGATGTGCTGGGTCCCCAGGGCCAGGGGATTGACCTAGCCTGCAGGTCAGCAGGGTGGTTCCCCAAACCTGAACTCCGCTGGGTTACAAAGAATGGGCAGGATCTGCAGCCTGTGACCAAAACAGAGCAGGGTCGTGAACTTCTGTTCAGTGTTCTGAGCCACGTCACAATCCTGGGAGAGGAAACTGGAGAAATCAGCTGCGTTATCCAGAACAGCCTGCTTAAAACAGAACAGAAATCTGTTGTTCTCCTCTCAGGTGAGTCTTGTGCATCATGCTTTAACCTTGAAGCCGCTTCTCTGTCCAGAGTCATGTCCTATCAAGCTCTAGTGTCTGTATTATTGATATAAGAATGTAGCAGAACACGGCTTCCCACATAACTCAGAAGGATGCTGCCCTAACACGGTTAGAAGGGCCCCATTGTGTTAGTTGTTGTACAAATGACTAAACTAAGCTTTCACAGGGTAGGATTAGGACAAGAAGAAACATGGGAAATGGTGAGCTGGGAGGAAAAGAAGCATGTTTTGCATGCAGCATGGTCTAGTGAATGAAATACTGGACTGGGACTCAGTAGACTTGGATTCTATTCCCAGCGATGCTACTGGCCTCCTGGGTGACCTCGAGCAAGTCACTGCCCCCTCTGTGCCTCAGTTTCCCCATATGTAAAATGGGGATAATGATGCTTACCTCCTTTGAGATCCACTGATAAAATACATTATGTAAGAGCTAGAGATGATTATTACTAATAATCAATCATTTCAGCTCACCACCCGTCTCACCGTTCTGGTGACTTATTGAAATTTGGATAAATTAACCAGTTGTTTAGTGGCAATAGGAGACCAGCTTCTAATTTTTATTCTCACAAGGCATCTCTCTCCAAATCTGACTCCTATTCACTTGTGTGTGATAACCAGCAATGGAGACTGGACAGCTTCAGACTCCAAACTGGTATGAAATAGCACCCAGTCAGATGTCAGGAATCACTATATTGAGGTACAATTCCACCAGTGCAGAAGGCCAGAACAAGGCCTGTGAACCATGTTAGGCCTACTTAAATCCAAGAAGCCTTGAGTTGGCCACCTACCCTGCGGTGAATGTTACCTCTGAAGAATGTGCAGTGATGTTCATTGATCTCTCACTCAAAGCAGGGATAGAAACTAATTTTCTTGATCTTGGCATGTGAAATCTAGAATCAGAGGGCCAAATCCTCAGATGGTGTAAATGGTGGTAGTTCTCCTGTCTTCAATAAAGCTATGCTCATTATATTAGCTGAGGATCTGGCCCATTGACTCCGGTAGAGTAGGACCAATTTACATTAGCTGGGACTCTGGTCAAGTGTCTTTATCATTGCCCAAAATTGCTAAGGACCCAGGAACAACTTACGATGCCAACGCTGAATTTGAAGTTAGTCCCATTGGTTTTAAAGAGTAAGATACAATTCACTGTAAGAAAGGGTGTCAGAATCTGGTCTACAGAAAACAGGCAGGATAAGAGCAGGAGTGAATTTGGGCTATCCAGTCTGGCAGCTCTCCTGCTCAAGGGCTAGATTTTCAGCTGGGTAAATCAATGGCATTTATGTCAGTTGCGGGTCTAGCCAATATTCTGTACTGCAAAACCAGTCAACTCCTATGCTTCACACATACATGGAGCCTAACCCATTGTTCCTCTAAGCACGGGAAAAAGACGGCCTGTTTCCAGGGTGACTTTTTTTATATATATTGTTTTCAAAGGTGATATTTTCCCTCGTGGTTCTCCATGGCTTGCTGCATTCTGGGTGTTATTTACTTTAGACCTTCTTGTGATTGGTGCCTGTGCATTTTGGGTTTATAAAGGTAAGTTCATTATTTGCATGTTTAAAGTCCCTCCACAAAGCAGGAAATAATAATCATGAAATTGTAATCAATTGAAACCCAAACATCAAACTAAATGTAACTACAATGTTTATTGGTGCTCAAAAAGGCTTCAGGATTTTTAATTAATCAATTAATTAATTTAAATGTTTGTTCATCTCTGATTAACATCTAGTACTAGAAGAAGAAATTTTTAAAAATGTCTGTTTTAGTATTTTGAATAGGGAGATTCTATTATTTCTGTATTTGGCACTAGTGTGACTGATTCTAGAATCCTGTGTCCAGTTCTGGTGGCCTCAGTTCAAGAAGGATGTTGATAAACTGGAAAGTGTGTAAGAAGAGCCACAAGAATGATTAAAGGATTAGGAAATATCTCAGTCTGTTTAGTTTACCAAAGAGAAGATTAAGGGTTACTTTATGTCACATTCTATAACTTACACGGGGAACAAATATTTGATAATGGGCTCTTCAATCTAGCAGATAAAGATACAAAAAAATCGAACAACTGGATGTTTGAGCTACACAAATTCAGACTGGAAATAGAGCATACATTTTTTTAAAGTGAGGGTGATTAACCACTAGAACAATTCACCAAGAGTTGTGGTGGATTCTCCATCACTGGAAATATTTAAATCAAGCCTGGGTGTTTTTCTAAAAGATCTGTTCCAGTTCAAACAGGAATTTTTAGGAAGAAAGTTCTCCGGCCTGTGTTATACAGACTAGGTGATCACAGTGGTCCTTTCTATCTTTATAATATATTAATCTACAAATTTCATACAAAATTAAGAGGAGGGAGGAGAGGCACAATGTTGAGGCATGATCCTGGAAAAAAAGCTATTGTGCATAGTGCTTACTGCCATGGATAGTCCAACTGACTTCACTGGGCTTTAATGAGATTACTCACAGTAGTAAGCACTACACTTGGGAATACAGCTTGTCAGAATTTTTTTTCCCCATCAAAATGTGGTCCTTTTTAAAGGATTATTTTTACAAAAATGTTTCATTTTTTTCAAAATTTTCCATTTTTTCAGCAGTCTGTAGATCATTAAAATTAGCCTGTTGTTTGTTTTACAAACTCTTTTTTCCATTTTTATTGATTAGTTGTTTTTGTATTATGGATTTTGACTGGTCACTGAGAGACACGGTACATTTTTTTTCAATATCAGAAAATTTCATTTTAAAATATTTCTGCATCTAAAATCAAAACAATTTTGATTGAAAAATATTTTGACAGAAAATTTGGAAAATAAAACAATGGACTCTCATAAAACACAGCATAATGGAAAATGTTTTCAGATTTGCCAAAACGTCAGCAGCATTTTGTTATGTTTTTCAAACATCTCTAATTGTTTGCAGGTCTGAATACATGTGTAATCAGAGGAAATATTACTCTAATACAAATTCCACAATTCATGGGCATGAAAAAATTCAGAAGAAAAGACGCTGCTAAGAAGCAGTTTGACATTATCAGTTCAAAATACTTTTATGCATATTGAAATGTCCTATATCATTAGAGTGTATATCATTGATGCCTATTTCCACAAGTCTCAAATTGTTCATGAAGCATTTTATATTTCTTGTCCCTCCCCTTCTCTTAAACCTTCAGCTTCCTCTGTATTTAAATTCTTCCTTCTGCCAACCATGCATAGTATGACACATGTGCACTGTACTTATCATCTTTTTTACTTCAATAGTTCAAGCACTTTGGTGAACATCTGTTTTATTTGTATCTCTTTGGCACCCAAACAACTTACTTAGCACACCAAAATCTTTGATTTTTAATCTTATAGCAAAGCAGAAGGATTCTAAGGAAAAAAGATCAAAAGAAGAGACTTTCTTAGAAAAGGGTAATGTATTTCTCTTTCTTAAGTTATCTTTATCATGTTTATACTCAGTTTTGACATCTCTATTTTAATTGGAATGAATTTTTCTTGAATGATTTTTAAATATATAACTCTTTATCTTCTACCATAATATAAAGCATTTAATAAAGTTATTAAACAAGACAATTTATTTTTAATATCTATTTTGCTCATAAATTGAATCAGATGTCTATTTCTTCCTGGGAAATCTGTCTCCACTGCTGCTTACATGTTGTAGGATAAAGCCTGTGCATCCTGACAGCTTCCCTTAAATGTCTTATGGTATCAAATAAATGTCACTAAGCCAGATGACAATGTGTCAGTCATTGCATTGATCTCAAGGTGCATGTGTAAAAATCTCACACTCTTTCAATGATATTTTGTCCTCTTTCCGTATCCCCACCTATTTTTACCCCATGTTTTATTAAATCTATGTTAGGAGCTGATCCTGAAAAGCTTATTTGCCATATTGCACCCCCCCTACTATGAAATTAAGGAGGTGTGAGTATGCTCAGGGTCCTTGAACAGTATCCTCAGAGGCAAAAAGAGGAAGGATAATGAATCCCAAGTTCATGGGGCACATGACTTATGAGGAGAGGCTGAAGGAACTGGGCTCATTTAGGCTGCAGAAGAGAAGAATGAGGGGGGGATTTGATAGTAGCCTTCAACTACCTGAAGGGGGGTTCCAAAGAGGATGGATCTAGACTGTTCTCAATGGTACCAGATGACAGAACAAGAAGTAATGGTCTCAAGTTGCAGGGGGGCGGGGGGCGGAGTTTAGGTTGGATATTAGGAAAAACTTTTTCACTAGAAGGGTGGTGAAGCACTGGAATGGGTTACCTAGGGAGGTGGTGGAATCTCCTTCCTGAGAGGTTTTTAAGGCCCGGCTTGACAAAGCCCTGGCTGGGATGATTTAGTTGGGGTTGGTCCTGTTTTGAGCAGGGGGGTGGACTAGATGACCTCTTGAAGTTTCTTCCAACCCTAATCTTCTATGATTCTTCTAAGACGTGAATGGCCTTGATTCTATTCTTGGCTGTGCCACTGGTTGATGACTGACCTTGGACATGTCACATAACCTCTTTGTGCCTCAGTTTCCCCAACTGTAAAATGTGGATAATGACATTCCCCTCCTTTGTAAAGCACTTTGGGCCTGAAAGATGAAAAGCACTAGATAAGAGCTAGGTATTATTAATTATTATTATTTACCCTTCAGGATCCAGCTGTGATCCCTAACCACAGAGTCAGGCTAGGCCACAGAGCTCAGCTTTTCCTCCTATAGGCCCAGAGTTTAGCCCTAAATGTGGAACAAGCAGCCAAAATGAGGGGTATGATTTTGAAGCAAAAAGTTTGAGGTAGATTTAAATAGATTAAGATGAAGATGCCCCAATTAGCTGCAGTTCTGGCCCCTCTATAAGCTCTCAATTGCACCTTTTCAAGTGACAGGACCGGTGCCTTCCTTTCCTCTTAGGGTGGAATCTCATGATTCTCCCATTCAGAGACCTAATCCCCAGACTATAGCGCCCCCATTCACCAGTCATCTTTCCTTAGTAGGCCCAACTGTGTTTGGTGCCTGCAAAAGAATTCCTTCCAGGATCTGTGATCAGTATGAAAAAAGCAAGGACTCAAGACAGCGCCTTCAAAACCATGTATTGTTTGTTTACCCATGGGAAGACAGCATTCAGAGAGAGAAAAATATATTCAGAGAGATTAATGTAACTGGTAACTTTCCTATCAAACATAGCCTCCAAGAACATTCTTAGAGGTGTTTTGTATCAACTTTGTATTACTAATCATCACATTGTTCTATAGTAACGTGTCATTCTCTCCCATGCAGAAACTGAGAGGAAGGCATTGGAATCAGGTACAGTAAAAATTACTTTCAGGACTGAGAATGTCAGATATGGATTTTCACACTATGATTCAAGAGAAACAATGGGACATAAATACTGTGACATGTTCACAGACAGTACAACATTGTGCAGGGGGTCTGGGGTAGAAGCCAGGAGAGCCAGGGCTGTAATTCTGGCTCTGCCATGAATATCCTGTGTGACCTTACACAAGTCACTTATCCTTCCTGCCTCAGCTTCCCCATCTCTAAATAGGGAACATAATACTCATCTACTTCCAAGGAGTGTTGTGAAGATTTGTTTGTAAAGCCAGATGGGTGCAGTTCCCTCCTATGCAGAGAGCCAGTGCAAGACCTACACACCACTCAAATAGGACTTAAGTGGAACTTAAGTGACTTAAATGGTGCATGGGCATCACATGAGCCTTCTACCACCCTAGATAAGTATTATTAGTCTGAGAAGCCACCTGCAGTTTGGAAGAGCAAAGAAAAGCACCTGACAGGCAAGAACAAGCATCTAGCACTGTTCATTATTATTAATATTACTGTGTTTTAACTGTAGTCTCTTAAAAGCACCTCCACAGTATCAGAAATTAATTGCAAATCTTTCTTTGCAACTAAATCCACTTAGACTTTCCTATCACAGACTAGTTCCTCTGGGAAATCAGTGCTACAAATACATTCCACTTCGGGGGTGGGGAGGAGGAGGAGAGGGGGAGGAAGCAAACAATTCCCTAAGTTAAAAATTAGGCAGTGTTCAAACTTTTACATGTAAATAGGTCATGGCCTTATCTACATTAGAAAAATTTTTGACAGTATAGAAATCTAGTGGCTAAGGGTTTGATATTTTTATGAGATTACTGTAACTGTAGATGCAGTTATACTGGCCAAAAAAAAAATGCTTTTGCTGGTATAGCTTATTTTACTGGCGGAACCCCAGTAAGCTACATTTTTTGCCAGCATAACTAGGGCTTTTGCTGGCATAACAGTGTTGTAAAAGTATCACTCCCCTCATCTGAAGAAGTGAGGTTCTTACCCACGAAAGCTTATGCTCCCAATACTTGTGTTAGTCTTAAAGGTGCCACAGGACCCTCTGTTGCTTTTTACACCCCTCATTGATATTGCTGTACCAGCAAATCACTCTACATCTGTCCTATAGAAGGCTATGTCTACACTAGACATGCTACAGTAGTGGAAGGGGTTCTTCCATCGCTGTTGTAAACTACCTCTCCAAGAGGCAGCAGAAAGGTTGATGGAAGAATTCTGTCAAGCTAGTGCTGTCTACACTGGGACTTAATTCAGCTTAACTATGTCTCTTAGGGGTGTGAATTTTTCACATACCTGAGTGACACAGCTGGGTCAGTTTAATTCTCTAGTGCAGACCAGTCCTTAAATGTAACATTTTTATAGAGATGATTAGTTTTGCCTTTTTCTATCCAGAGAATCAGTATATGTATTTCTCAGCATGAGCTGAAATTTCTGTTTTAAAATATCAAACTGATAAAGCTTTTTCTTTATCTTTTTCCTTTTACAGAGTGTCAGGATGTGCGGGAACGACTTGGTAGGGCTTGTTTTATGGTACATAATTAATAAGCAGCTATAATTGTACAGTGTAGATAGAATTATGGGGAATTTGGAAACACAGGTATATAAGGGGATTCTAGGGATATTATATTAAACAGTGAGTAATATGTAGAATCAACAGACCTTAGATATAATTTTTTCAGTATGCTTGCTAACAGTCTACCTTCTCCCCCCTACATCCTTCCTCTCAATGTGTAATCTAAAAACTAATGAAAAAGTTTCAGCTTGGTGACTGTAAATAATCATATCATTAAAATTACTGAACTTGAGTTCCTTCAGACTTGATTTAGTAACTCCTCAACATCAAGCTATGTTTAAAGATTACATTCACTGTTGTGGCAAGGCATCTCCTTCACCCACTGGACTCAGTGCTTTCCCCTCTGGCAGGGGGCGGCGGAGGGCTGGAATAAATCAGCCCCAATCCAGACAGATGGTGTTTTGGGATTTATTTCTTACTATTTTCCTGATAGGCCTCAGGGCAAGTCCAAGGTATGCTCTTGCACCAAACAAAAGAAACAAATTCACAACATAAAACAAAGGGGAATGCCTTTCCCTACCCCCTTTCTGGTTGGGGATAGGGGGGTCCTTGTTATTGGCCCCAGGGTGGCCCATCCTTTCCCTAAACAGGCAGTCAGGTAGCTAGCTTCCCGTGTGAGGAGGAGGAGCACAACTTCCCACCCTAAAGAAGTGTTTCTCCTTGCTGTCCCTAGCCAGCACAACTTGTCTCCCTTCTCTCCATTCACCAGAAGAGGGATGTTCAAAGGTCTCAGTCAGCCCTTCATTAAACTCAGGTGTCCCTTGTTGACCTGAGGTAACCCCTTTTCGGATTATAGGGAAAAGGGGCCTTTATCATTCTACGGCTAATACTAGGGTAACCAGATATCCCAATTTTATAGGAACAGTCCTAATATTCATGTCTTTGTCTTATATAGGTGCCTATTACTCCCCATCCTCTGTCCTGATTTTTCACACTTGCTATCTGGGCACCCTAGCTAATACACCTGCCTTGTATCACTCTCTTACTGCTGTCCAGCCTGACTTTTACTGTAATTTTCTGTATGTAGGAAATTCCTATTTGTATTAAAATACATGTTATTAATTGATAAACAATTTATAGTCATGTAAAGGGAGTCCGTATTTTAAAGTTAGAGCACTGGAAGAAGAGCAACGGTTTAGCCTTTGGCTTCAATTCTGCATTTCCTGATTTTAAGTGCCTGATTTCTCAATCTCACCATAGCAATCATGATATTGATATTTGTACTGAATATTTTATATAACTTGCATATAATTATGGCTCCCCTCACTCTAGCATCAGGGTGCTTTTAAGTAAATAAAAAGAAATACAAAATATCTTCTGTCCCTTTATCTGTCCATTTATAATAAACCAATTTACAATAAACCTGGCTCTGAGGAAAATAGCAGTAAATATTGTCAAGTGCAAAATTAGCTACTGAGTAAATTTAACATTTTTTGAACCAAAGGCATTGCTTTTACCACTATTACCCTGGGTGATTTGTCTAAATCTGGTAGATTCTCCCCAGATCACCTATTGGAGGAAGGTCCCTCGCTCCTAACAGAAAAATAATCTGGGAAATAGCCTAGCTCACAGCATAGCCACAAAAAATTCAGGGAAAGATATGACTGTCCCCCTCCCCTTGGAGAGGAACAGAATTTAAGGGAGACTGTCAGACTCCAGAAGTTCAAACGGGAAAACCAAAAGCAGTGGTGCTCTTCTGAGCTCCAGCCACTTGGAGCAAATTGATGATTTGTGTAATAACGGATAAATCTGTAGAACCAGTGAATAAACTGCATTTATTCTGGAACTCTGGGTCCCTCACCTGTGCTCTTATCACTAATCTACCTCTCCTTGGACTACATCTACAATAGCAAGACTCTGAGAAGCCAATGGAGATGAGCTACAGCAAGGATTGAAGCTTTAACTGTATATAAATAAAGCTATCATAGATTTCCCTTTCATTTTTTCCCTGTAATGTGTTTCAAGCAGCCTTTGTCTCTTGCTCATTCCCTTGAGATTTTCAGTGAGAAGAGACAATCTAGCCCTCAGTTTGAAAATCTGTATTTGTGCTGTATGAAATCTAAATTAATTTAGTTTTATTTTTTCCTACATTTATGGAAACATCCAGTAAACTGTGCCCTTTGCTCTAATAAAAGTAAATAATACCAGATCTTTTCATTTCAGACAGAGCAGTCACAGAACTAGGTAAGTCAAGCCATTTTTTGCTTCATGTCTTTTTATATATAACATTGACACCCCAGAAGGGTCAGCAACAGGGTTTGAAGTTGGAGTTTCATGCAGGAGCATCTGCTGCCTAAGCTAAAAGGCCTAGCTCCTTAACCAAGTCTGTTATAGGTTTATCCAGTTTGAGGTGCTTAGCCAGCACTAGAGTGAGACAGAGTGCTACATAGACACAAATCCTACTCTGAGCAGAAGGAATATCTTCTCTCAGTGCTGCAGTGCTCAGAACAGAGTGGCCCAACAAGCAGGGGTCTAGACAGTCAAATGTCTCTGCCCCCAGCTTCCTGAGGAACTTTGGAGAAGGCACTCCCAGTTTCTGGATTTCAGATTCCCCATTGGGAAACAAAGACTGATATTGGTTGAGTGGAAATTCAGGGCTTTGTGGGGTGGTTCTGCTTACAGATGAGATCAGTGACCCAAAGCCTAGGTAATGACCTGGTGTAATCCATTTAATTACAGAAATATACACAAGTCCTGCTGTTTCTCTGAACAGCAGTGTGAACATACAGCACACAAGCCTTTGCCAAAATCCCACACCAGACATTCCAGCTAGTCCTGTGTCTGAGAAACCACTACCCCTCAGCCTCTGCTTCCTCACCTAGGTCACAGACACAACTCCTGCTGCTTATTTACTGCAACTGCTTAAACTCACAGCCTTCTGATAGGCCTCAGCCTCTGTGTTTCCTTCTGAGGAGAGCCCATTAACCCTACTCTCACGCCCTGGCCACATGGCTTGTCAGTTCTCTTGGACATTAGTTCCTCCCTTTATATCCAGCTGTTTTGCATCACTGAAGAGTTGTTCCTACTGTTAGAAACAAAGGTTTTAGCCACCCACCCCATTTATTCTAACAATCTCCATGGTTGCAGGGTTGCCAACTTTCTAATCACACAAAACCGAACACCCTAGCCCTGTCCCTTCCCCAAGGCCACGCCCCCCACTCACTACATTCCCCCTCCCTCGGTGGCTTGCTCTCCCCCACCCTCACTCACTTTCACTGGGCTGGGGCAGGGGGTTGAGGTGTGGGAGGGGGTGAGGTCTCTAAGTGGGGGTGTGGGCTCTGGGGTGGGGCCAAAATGAGGGGTTCAGGATGCGTGTGGGGGCTCTGGGCTGGAGCAAGGGGTTGGAGTGTGGGAGGGGGTGAGGACTCCCACTGGGGGTGTGGGCTTTGGGGTGGGGCCAGGGTGATGGGTTTGGGGTGCAGGAGGGGACTCCAGGCTGGGGGTGGGGCAGAGGGGTTCAGGGTGTGAGAGGGGGCTCTGGGCTGGGGAAGGGGGTTAGGGTGCAGGGGGGGGTGAGGGCTCCATCTGGGGGTGCAGGCTCTGGGGTGAGGTCGGGGATAAGGGGGTTGGGATGCAGGAGGGGGCTCCGGGTTTGGGGGGGCTCAGGGCTAGGGCAGGGGGTTGGGGCTCAGGGTTGGAGGGGCTCACCTCTGGCAGTTCCCAATCAGCAGTGCAGTGGTGGGGGGCCTAAGACAGGCTTCCTGCCTGTCCTGACTGTGCGCTGCGCCCCGGAAGCAACCAGCAGGTCCAACCCCTAGGTGGAAGCGTGACAGGAGGCTCGGCGCAATGCTCTCACCTGCAGGCACCGCCCCCGCAGCTCCCATTGGTCATGGGTCCTAGCCAATGGGAGTGCGGAGCAGGTGCTCGGGGTAGGGAAAGCATGCGAGCCCGGTGGCCCTCCCGCCTAGAAGCTGGAGCTGCTGTCTGCTTCTGGGGTGCAGTGCGGAGCCAGGACAGGTAGGGACTAGCCTTCTTTAGCTTCGCAGCACTGCTGACTGGAATTTTAATGGCTCAGTCGGTGGTGCTGACCGGAGCCACCACGGTTCTTTTTCGACCAAGCATTCCGGTCAAAAACCAGACACCTGGTCACCCTATGTGATTGTCTTCCCTCCAAGACTCCAATGGCAGACGGTCAGCACCTTTCACTATAACAATATTCACTTTCCTTTATACAGCACTTTGAGATCTACAGATGAAAGCAAAAATATGAGAGTTAAAGTAGTTGTAGAGCTACAGGCTAGTTCTTTCTCGTTGCAAGTATTCTCACTGGAATCAATGGGACTTTTCCTGAGTGAGGACTGGAGAAACTTGCCAAATATGAATTCTCACAGTCTTGAGTTCCATTAACTTGGTGATTCTCCTTTTGCAGATTTCAGGAGGGCTCGGAGCTACATGGGTGAGTTTAACTCTGTAATTAGACTGCCACCTTATTAGGGCTCTTTGTCCAGACCCCGAGGGAGCAGGAGATGGCAATGATATATGAAGAATTAAGGGACTTAAGGTCTAGATATGAAGGCAGGGTCTATGCTAATAGCAGATACTAACATTTGTAGGAAGTTTCTTTCTTTCTTTTTTAACTCATACAGTCAAAAAGCCGGTATTTGTACAACAATCAAATATGAGTTGTATATTTCTGTTCCTTTTAATCAAATGAGTGGGATCTATTGATAATTGTACAGCTCCTTCAGCTCAGATCTAGTGCTTTTCATACACTAAAATAAAGAAAATAAGTTTAAAATATATCCCTAATGTGGGGATGCCACTATCTTGATTCAGGAAGTAAAGGCTGGAATCTAGTTTCCTATCACAAGTAAAACAGGGGGGACTTCTTACTTTAATTGTTACTTAAAATATTTGCCTTAACATTAGAAGCTCTTCCTGTTCTCCTCAAATTTTCCTTTATTAATGAGATCTGACTCACTTGTGGCTAATTGAGTTATTCTTGTCCCTCTCCCTTGGGGTTCCCTGACTGATCCATGGTTAATGGGGTTATTCTCCTGTGGGATTGGGGGAGGGGTGTCCTTGACTGAACCATGACTAATGGGGGTGTTCTAGACCCTCTCCTGTGGTATTGAGAGTCCCTGACTGACAAGTAGCTAATGGGGTTAATTTGGTCTCTCTTCCCAGTTCCCGTCACCCTGGATCCAAGTTACAAACACTCTGAATGCACCGTGTGTGAAGATGGCAGAACAGTCCAACACAACCCCCCTTCCCCAGGGCCAACTTCCCCCTCCGGTGCCCTGATAGCTGTGGGAAGGGAGGGATTTTTGGCCAGGAAGGATCATGGTGGGGAGGGTATGGTTTGCAGGAGGTACTGGGAGGTGGAAGTAGGGAACAGCCCGGACTGGGAGCTGGGGGTGCTGAGTGAGACTGTGAGGGACAAAGTAAGGCAGGGGAGTCTGGAAAGACCCCCTGAGGAGGGGTTCTGGGCTCTGGGGAAATCCAAGGGGCAGTATCACCCACAGCAGGCTGACACTGTGATACAGAACTGGGATGAGAAGCCGACAGTGGTTGGGGTGTATCTGGATCCAGAATGGGGGAGTCTCTCCTTTTATAGTGTCCGTGCAATGGGCCTTATTCTGGAGATTCCTGTGGAAGGTTCTGATAAAGTATACCCGTTCCTCAGCCTTGGTTACACTGCAGGGGGGTACCAAGAGAAATCCCTCAGCATCTGCCCTCCCAGCGACTGGGATTTCCCTCAGAAATTACTAGTCAGTCGGTCTGTTAATCAGGGAACTCCCAAAACCCAAGGACAGCCTCCTGCCCACAACAATGGGGAAGAGGCAGGAAACAACACAGGGCCATCTGCAACAGGAGAAACATCCCCAGCTCCTGGACAGCACCCTGCTTTTGTAGACCAGAATGTGAAAGGAAACAGCGCTTGGTCATCTATGGTCAAAAATTTCCAAAAGTCCTTCCCCTACCCAAAAAGGAGAAAGGGGGATAAAACAGAAGAAGAAGGGGGGGAAGAAACACCAGATCTCGAGATCTCAAAAGCCCACCTGCAAAAACCCCACCTGCCAAAAGCCCTCTCACAGAGTAAAAGGAATCAGAAACAGAAAAACACTCAGAACATGAATCCAGAGGAAATCTCTGAAGCTGACACTCTTGCTCTGCAGATTTCAGAGTCAGGAACTATGACAGGGGAATCAGATCCAAATGCTGACACCTTGAAAATAACCTTGCTTCAAAGAGAGTCTGGAAATGGTGACACTTCAGATGTTTCCTCCCCCTTGAATTCAAAGGAAAACTGCAGTGATTAGTGATAATGCATTTAAAACTCACACTAATTAAATAAGAAGGTGTTACTGTTAAGGTTAGGAATTTAAATACACTAAAGTCAGGAAATGCAGAAGGGAAGGTTCTTACAGTCACATCTGATCAGCTGGTGCTACCCTTATTTGGTGTGGTACTCAGTGTGAGTGGATGATAGACTGAAGCCCCTCACTTTGCAGGACCAGAGTCTGATATCCCTACTCATGTGGAATAGCACCTTATTCCAACATCAGTCCTATTGACCTCAGCATGACCACTCATGGGATAAGGTATCATGCAGTATGAATACAGAAACAAGATTCAGGCCAGTCATAAACACTGTGTGTGGATGAGTTAATGTTACTAGGAGAACTCTACCTTTTGCACTTCCTTACTTATGTCCATTTACATACCAGTAAATAGGATCAACATTTTTCAGAAAGGGAGAGAAGTTGCATGGACCACTGCTTCACATGCTGTTGGGGTGTCAATGCACATTTGCTTACTTTGACACCTAAATAGATAAATATGGATGCAAATGGCTAATTTACACTTGCAACTGTGGTAACTGCACGTGTGACTGCTAGTGCACAAATGCATATTTTACAGGAAAAGTGAGCCTCTACCTTTGGGAAATTTGCCCAAAATGTTACACTTGGATTGTGTGTATAATCTTCCTGTTTATCACACATAAAACAAAAAGAAAGAAAATGCCAGTGCTATGTTGCATTCAGCTATGAAACTGTAAAGCCTTTGGCTTTCTGTGTACTGGGGGTAAAAATTTCAAAAGTGCCTAGGTGAGTTAGGATCCTAAGTCCCTTTTCAGAAGTGACTTAGGCACTTGGGCTCAGATCTTCAAAGCTATTTAGGCACTTAGCTCCCATTGAAATCAAGTGTAGCCAGATCCTTAGGCTCCCAAAAGTCTATTACTTTTGAAAAGGGGACTTACTCTACTAAATCATTTAGGGTCAGATTTTTAAAGGTATTTAGGTGCCTACCTCCCATTTCAATAAACACCAATAAAAATCTGACCCTTTTGAAATGTTTTCACTATACCTTTAATGTTTAAGAACATGCCTTGCATACTGAGTTGAGTAGCTGTTTTGTAGAGGGTCCTGGCAGCTAATACCCAAGGAGACCTCTGCACGCTTGCACACACACATACACACACACAGTGCTCTCAAAGATACATTACTTTTGTTTTCTCTTCTTGTTGTTTTCTTTAATCAAAAACACCCTGGAGGTGTTTGTGGGGTTTTTTTTGTGTGTGTGTGGAAACATACAAATTCAGGCAATGAGGATGGGAATGTAAAGCACAAGGAAGAGCTCAGAGAAAGTGAGGAAGCCATAGAAAAAATATCCTAAATAGAAACAAAAGAGAAAAAGAACATAATGGAAATATAGAGCCTGCAGGTTAACGAAGTAAAGGCAATATCTGAAATATATGTTCATAGGCTTGGTCAGTATTTTCACGTAAATATTATCAATATGTTCCAAAAACAAACTTCTAGCTAGAAAAGGAAATAAATGGGATAGAAATAAATAAATAATCTAAAGCAAAGATAAAGAAAAAAAACTTGGGGGGTGGGGAAAGAGTCTGTTGCCTTTATTGTATTGTGGTATTGTAATCAAAAGAGTAAGGTTTAATTTGATGGTTTTATCGTTTCTACATTAAATATGAAGAATATGCCTTTGGTTTACAAAGTTTTCCTTTTTTATTTTCAGTGTTCTAATAAAAATATAGTTGATGTGGTCAGGTTTATTTTCATGCTATTTTTAACTGAAGCTCGGATACAAAATCTATATATTTCAACTGAAAATTAAATTAAAACTCACCACCACCATCAAAAACCCCCTCACTTTGGGTTTGACTTCACCAGGATAAAAGGCATGTTTTTAAACTTCTGTTAGCTCCCTGTGTTAAAACCCCAGTGTAGACTAGGCAATTTGTATTTTAACATGTTAGCTGGCAGGGGTTGACCCTAGGGGGAAGCCCAGGCTTTATCTTGATGGGTTTAACATGTTTTAAAGGCACATGGTCCTGTGTAGACTAGATTTTTAAAATGGGTTAGTGCTGTGTCTTTGATGTCTACACCACATTAATAATATGCAAAAATCACAGGGACTCAACTCAGTTCCATATAACCATGTTTATTAACTGTTTACAGATATACACACCTAGCTGCTTATGTCTGCTGCTGCTCTGGCAAGATTCTGGTGGCTATAGCAATAGAAAACAGGGAGATCAGCTAGTGGGCCATTTAAAGGGATATTACTTAATTTCTATACACTACATCCTCCTGCACCTTCAGCGTGACAGGCATATAAAAATATATATACAAATGTACTGCTTTGAAAACTATGATTAGTGATACACAACAGGCTAGTAATTCAGTCTGAGAGGTGGTTTATGACTTCTATCTGGATAGCATCTCATAGGCATCACAGCAGGATCTGGGACATCATCTGTAATTTCTGGAGTAGCTGTGTCTACAACTCCCTGCTGAAGGTTATTTGTAGTAGGAAAAGGGCCTGGATGCTCACAGCTGCTATCACTAGTCACTGTCTGTGGCTGTATTGTAGGCTTGTTGTTTCCAACAGGCATCACTGCTGTAGAACTGCCATATGTAACCACCTGAATATGAGTTCTCAGTGCAATGCTGTGACACAAAGGACAATGCAACCCTTGGATGCAGGGCCGGCTCTAGCTTTTTTGCTGCCCCAAGCAGCTAAAAAAAGCGCC